GGAGTTTTTAAACCTTTTAAATTGCATGGGTTTTAAACAGCATGTGGCACAGCCGACTCAAAACAGAGGGCACACCCTGGATTTGGTCATAACTTCCGGCCTATCCACTGGTGTGTCCTCTGTTGTCGACCTGGCTGTGTCGGATCACTACTGTGTGTATTTTAATATCACCAGTTTTAACCATCAGGAGGCCCCGGTGAGAACGGTGAGGAAACGCTACCTAACCCCCGAAGTGGCTGCAAATTTTATTGGGATTTTACAGAGCACTCCTGCCGCAATTTTACCTGCACCATGCGATTTTATTGTGGACCATTTTAACAGAACATTAAAAACCACATTGGACACAGTGGCTCCACCCGTAATTAAAACTATTAAAACAAAACCCTTACCCCCATGGAGAAAAAACAACGAAATCAGAAACACAAAGAGAAAATGCAGGAGTGCCGAACGCAAATGGAGAAAAACCACATTAACAGTTCACCTCGAAATACTACAGGACTCACTCAAAAAATACAACAATGCAGTAAAAAAGGCAAGAACAGCCCACTTTTCAAAACTCATCACAGACCATAAAAACAATTCCAAATTCCTCTTTTCCACCATCGACCTTTTAACAAACTCCCATTTTAAAAAATCTTTTAAGACCCCCACAGACGCCCTCTGTGAGGACTTTGCAGACCACTTCGGGAGTAAAATTGATTATATTAGATCTAGTCTTTTAACTCATCAGAATGTGATTTCCAACACATCTGAACAGCCGATTTTACCTGAGGAAACACTGGAGAGTTTTGCCCTGGTTGACGCAAGGACACTTGGTCGAGTTTTCTCCCAAGTAAACCCAACTACCTGCCTTTTAGATCCGATTCCCACATTATTTTTAAAAACATTTTAAGAATTTTTTGAGGAACAGATTTTAACCATTGTAAATTGCTCTCTTCAGACAGGGGTCTTCCCCACTGCCTTTAAAACGGCGGTGGGGAGGCCCCTTCTGAAGAAGAGAAATTTGGATACTGATGTTTTTAATAATTATCGACCCATATCCAACTTACCGTTTTTAAGTAAAATCTTAGAAAGACTGGTTTTTAACCAAGTAAATTATTTCTTAAAAAGTAATAATATCTTAGAGAAGTATCAATCCGGTTTTAGGATGAACCACAGTACCGAGACAGCCCTTTTAAAGATTTTAAATGATATCAGGTGTAATGCCGATAAACAGAAACTCACAGTTCTGGTACTACTGGATCTAAGCGCTGCCTTTGACACAGTAGATCACCAGATTTTATTAAGCAGACTCAGGCACCTGGTGGGCCTCTCCGGTACTGTTTTTAACTGGTTCAGTTCTTATCTCTTGGAACGATCCTTCTTTGTAAGTATGGATACCTGTTCCTCAAAAACTCATGAAATTAAGTGTGGGGTGCCCCAAGGGTCAATTTTAGGTCCAATACTTTTTAATCTCTATATGCTTCCCCTTGGGAACGTCATCAGGAGACACGGCATCAGCTTCCATAGTTACGCTGACGATACACAGTTGTACATCGCCATGTCTCCTGAGGACACAGGGCCTATTGATGCCCTTTTTTACTGCATTTTAGATATCAAGTCATGGATGGCAGAGAATTTCCTACAGCTCAACCAGGACAAAACAGAAGTTTTAATTATTGGTCCTGAAGGCAAGAGAGAGAAACTTTAACCAAAACTACAAGATTTTAAACCTGCTCAATCTGTTAAGAATCTGGGCGTAATTTTTGACTCTGAGCTGAATTTTATTCCACATATCAAGAACATAACAAAGATAGGTTTTTACCATCTTAGGAATATAGCCAGAGTCCGCCCGTTTCTCTCTCAGGCCAACACGGAGGTGCTGATGCATGCTTTTATTTCTAGTCGTTTAGATTACTGTAATGCCCTGCTCTCTGGTCTTCCCAAAAAGACCACTCACATCTTACAACTGCTACAAAATTCTGCAGCACGTGTGCTGACGAGGAACAGAGGGCGGGAGCACATTACACCGGTTTTAAAATCCCTGCACTGGCTCCCCATGTGTTTCAGGATCGATTTCAAGGTTCTTTTAGTAGTTTTTAAGTGTCTTAATGGTCTTGGCCCATCTTATTTATCTGAACTGCTTTTATCTTATCAACCCTCGCGTACCCTGAGGTCCTCTGGCGCCGGCCTTTTAGTTGTTCCTCATACAAAAACCAAAACTCACGGAGAGGCTGCCTTCAGCCATTATGGCCCAAAGTTATGGAACAGCCTGCCAGAGAACATCAGGACCGCAGAGACTGTTGATGTTTTTAAAAGGAGGCTCAAGACCCACCTTTTTAGTTTGGCTTTTAGCTGATTTAACTGTTTTAGTTTATTTTATCCTTTACTTTTATCACATTTTTATGTCACTTAGATATTCTAACATTATTTTAATTTAGTTTTAGTTTATTTTATCCTTTACTTTTATCACATTTTTACGTCATTTAGATATTTTAATATTATTTTAATTCCTTCTATGTCCTAGTCTTTTTAGCTCCAGAGTTTCCTCGTGGGAGCCCTCCACACTGGGAGGTATGTCTGGTCCGCCCCCGGGGGGCGCGGTCCTTGGGATCGTCCAGGCCCGGACGGTTAGGGGGCTCTGCACTATGTGCAGGGTGCACCCGGGCTGTCTGGGTCGGGGGGTCTCGGGGGCGGTGCTCCCTGTGGGGGTGGGCTGTGGCTCCTCTCGGTGTGGATGGCTCCCATAGGTGGTCTTTCCTTATCAGAATCATCAGTGCCTTGCCATGTTTTTACTGACAGTTACTGTGTGGGTGTGTGGATACGTGTGTGCGTGTATGTGTGTGTGGGGTGGGCTGCTGTGCATGCCTGTATGTGCTGCTGTGGGTGGGAAGGGATGCGTTTTATGCCTATTTAAGTGCCCTATATTTACTGTTGTTTGTTTTTACCTTTTTGTAAAGCACTTTGTGTTGCAGCTTAAAAGCATGAAAGGTGCTATATAAATAAAGTTTGATTGATTGATTGGTCCTGGCCGACGACTCCGAGCCGGCGGACGGGCTGCCGCGGGTCGGGGTTCCGCAAGCCGGCGACACGGCCGACACATTGATTTCTGTGACACAATAAAAATATTTGTTCATTTCAATTCCTGCTTCTGTGTATCTGTTGCGTTTACATCTCTCTCCACGGTATCATAGGTAATGTAATCCAGTATTTCGAGGTCAGTTATGCACATTACAGTTGTTTATTGCATAAAAAGTTATCGAAAAATGAAGTTAAGGGCGGAGTATAAATCACGTCTAAAAATAGACTGAATCCCGACGTTGAAATGAAGTATAAACTTAGACTAGACGTCTAATATACGTCTTTTGCTCAGTGGGATGACAAAGCATGTGGACATTTGTGTGACACGCCACTTACCCTATAATAATAATCGCCACCACCCACTGCTGAAACGGCGTGAGGGTCTCCTCCCCCGGACCCCCACCTGTCTGGCCAGTACTCCTCCGGAGGGCAGCTGTACACCGCTTGACCTCCACCTTGAGGTCCGACCACTTTTTTTTAATCTTCGCGGGGGTGCGTGTCTCGGAACCCACCGCATTCACCCTCTCGCAAACTTTCTCCCACTCCAAGCGTTTTTGTTTTGCACTGACGCCACTGGACAGGCTGCCAAACAAAACACGCTGTCGCTCCTCCACCTCCACCTCCGCCACCAGCACCTCCACCTCGCACGCCGTAAATTTAGTTTTTCTTGTCATTTTGTCTGCGTGCGAGGACAGGGAGACCCTATTTAAATAAATCTGCATATTTATAGGAGGGCGTAACGGGGACGGGCCCAGTCACTCCGACATCTGCGCTCAATTCCACGCTGATTGGGATTTATCAAGGAAACACACGTGGATTTCGGCGCCCGCACACATTGATACATACAGATTTTTTTCAGCGTGACGGACCTTGCGTGTGCTCGTTTCTGGTATGAGTTCCACGCAAGTATTGATACATAAGGCCCCTGGTCAGTCTATATCTTCCGGTGACATCAGAGGATCTGTACCTTTTCATCTTCTCGCTTTGCAGGTAAACTGCACGTCACCTCGCTAGCTCAAGCTAAGTGACTATTATTTTCCCTCGTTGCTGATAACCTTGTGACGACTTGTCAGAGCTGTGAGCCCTACAAAGCTGCAACGGACTCCGCTGAGAGGTTTGTGGTTTGCTGTGGACACTTCCGCTTCAGCTCATCATCCTAGGTGGGATAAGTTAACTTTTTGTTATGACAAATAAGCATTTTCTTCAGTGCAACCAATTGAATTAGCTTTAGGTTTAGGTTGTTACATTTTCAATTGTCGGTGAAAACGGTGACCTTGCTTACTCTCTCGGCTTTTTGAGTTACCACAGATATTGTGTTATATTTTCAGTTGTTCGTGAAGACAGTAACCTTGCGTCCTCTCCCAGCATTTGTACGTTACGCCGATATTGTGCCGTATTTTCAATTGTTGGTGAAGGAAGTGGCCTCTCTCCCTCTCCCAGCATTTGTACTGTCAATGTTTTCGGATTAGTTGCTTTTTCGGATGGGTGCTTGCAGCTTTTATCGGTACAACCTGTTTTACTCACTTAAAATTGTACTTTCATTTGGTGGGGACAGTAGCGTTTCCCTTCGTTCTCCCGGCTCAACTCATTCATATACATCAGTGGTTAGCCTTTGAGTTGTAATTTGTTGGTGACGGCAGTGTGCACGCTCCCATTTCCAGCTTAGGTTTGGTTACTTTTCTTTTTTCTGTCTGATTATTACTTAGTTTGTATATTGCGGTGCCAACTCGGTTGTACCCGTTTTGTGTTGTGTGGCAAATACCCATGACTGGTGAAGGCAGTGCTCTCACTCCCACTCCCAGCAAAGAGGTGATTTACTTGGTTAAGGCTGTGTTTTTGCTCCCTCTCCCAGTGTAAGTTCTCCTGTTTTAATTTATTGGTTGTCAATATGTTTTGCAAGCATTCTCGCTCGTCCTGTATGGCTTCTCTGCAGCCTGAGGATGGCCATGATTTGTGTCCTTCATGCCTTGGCCTGCATGAACTGTAGCTTCATGCCCCAGGCAGTAAGGGCAGCCAGACTAGCTGAGGTAGAGCAACTGTTGAGCCTTGCCCTGTCACCCAACCATTTGACCCCAGCCCAGCCACCACCTCATACTCAGTCTGGCGAATCTAAGCATCGGGTTGCTGAGACCACAGGCCCCACCCCCAGGAAGAAGGTTAAAGGGTCCAGCCTTGCTTCCAAGGTGGAAAAATTAATGGCAGAGCTTGATAGCATGAAATCTCTCTTCTTGGCCTTCTGGTCTGGGACTGGTGCAGAGGTGCCAGTTGCTCCTGATCCTTCGGTAGCCATCTTGGAGCCGGAGGATGATGTGCTTTCCACAGCAGTGTTGGCTACTGAGTTTGCTGAATATGAGCCAGAGGTGGTCCCACAGGATGTTGCCTCCTGTGCTTCCGTGGCAGGCTACTGTTCATTGACCCACAGCTCTACTGGTGGCTCTAAGGATGGTTCAGTGGGAGCTATCATTCCTATGGCCTTGGCGTGTCTACAGTTGGTTTTACCACAAACCCAGTCGATTCCAGCTAGTGCCTTCTTCAGGTGTGGTCCGGCCCCCGCTAAATTCACTGTGACCTCATCAAAGGACTATCTGAAGGAGCTGCATGCTTGCTGGAGGAATTTTGGGGCCCTATCCCACGCAACATCTGACAGCCAGGCCCTGGCAGCACCCAAGTTTGGCTTGGGTTGCATGCCAGCAATTGAGCCAACTATAGCTGCTCTAATTGTCTCCCCTTACGAAGCTCTGAGACCGGACGCTAGGTGTCCTCGCCCGCAGTGTCGGGTTATGGATGACCTGCTTTCCAGAGCTTATGATGCAGCAGCGCATGTGGGACGCATAGGTAATTCTATGTCCCACCTGCTGCTCGTGCTATCAGCATCCCTGCAGGAGGCTACAGTGGATCCTTCCATCCAAAAATTCAGTGATGCTTCATTACAAGCATTCGCACTGATGTCTAGAGAACTTGGGCGGCTGATGTCCACACTCGTTTAAGCTCGCCGCCAGGTTTGGCTGGCAAAATATCCTCTCACAGAGGCATGCAGGAGAACCCTCCACAGTGTTCCAGTGGAACCTAGAGAGCTTTTTGGCTCAGCGGCTCTTGAGGAGCTTGAGTGCAGTCCAAACCAGACAGATAAGACAACAGCTGTCAGGTCTTCAGAGGATTGCGCCTCCTCCTAGCAGGCCTGGGGGTTCTCCCACTGCCCCCCAGCATTGCTCTCATCTACAGGCCCATATCAGTGGCTACCTTGGACCTCAGCACCCACAGCCTGCTCAGCAGCAGGCGCAGGACTTTTGGGCCCAGGGCGACTGGCCTCTGAGTGACCTCAGGTGTCACATGCTGCCCGTCGCACCCCCTGAGCCTCTAGAGGTCAGGGGACCCCATGCTATGGCCTAGGGGCCGGTCGTCAGCTGTTTTTCCCAGCAGCAGCTCAACTATTGGGCTGCTTCCACCAGGGACCCTTGGGTGCTTTCCACCTTGACCCATGGGTACAAACTTCAGTTCTGACACCGGCCCCCAACCTGTGGCCCGGTCAAGATGACCATCATACACGTCCTGGCAAAAGCCCGGGCCCTCAGCCAGGAGTTGTCATCCTCCTGGACAAGGGTGCCATCGAGCCAGTAGATCCCCTGTTGCAACCCGGGGGATTCTACTCGACTTGCTTTCTGGTAGCAAAGAAAGATGGCGGACTACTCCATCCTCGACTTGAGAGGTCTCAACAGATTCCTGAAGGTCTTGAGGTTCCATATGCTCAGCACTGTAAAGGTACTGCGCACTATAGCCAGGGGGGAGTGGTTTACGTCAATAGACCTGAAAGATGCCTACTTTCATGTCCCCATAGCACCATACCACAGACAGTTTCTATGGTTCGCTTTTAAAGGGCGTCACTTCCAGTTCAGGGTGCTCCTATTCGGCCTGTCTCCTTCCTCCCTGGTGTTCACCAGATGTGTTTTGGCAGCCCTCTCACCCCTGCAGTTGTGGGACATGAAGATCCTGCCCTATCTGGACGTCTGGCTTATCTGTGTGCCAGCCTAGTTTCAGGTGGCCCTGGACATGATGCATCTTCTCTCTCATGTGGCCAGACTGGGTCTTAGGGTGGATCTCACAAAGAGTTGTCTGGTTCCCTCACAGAGCACACTGTTTCTCGGGATGTCTCTCAATGCTGCCACCATGACGGCTTGTCCATCACCGCAGCGGGTGGACGACATCCTTCGCTTCCTCCTCCTCTTTCAGGGAGGCAGATGGTTGCACTATGTGGTGTTTTTACACCTCCTTTAGGGCTGCTGTCACTACGTCTCCTTCAGAGGTGGCTGAACAGCTTTCATTTGGATGCAAAGTGGCACCAACACAGGAGACTCCAGTTGTCACACCGCTGCCTCCTTGCTCTGGCTCCATGGAGAGAGAGGTCATTTCTCCTTCAGGGCATACCCATGGGTTCCGTTGCAACTTGGCGGGAGACCATCACGGCAGATGCCTCCCTCTCGGGTTTGGGTGCTGTGTGGCAGAACCGGACAGCTCGAGGGCTGTGGCCCACTCGAGACCACTCGGTACATATCAATTTGCTGGAGCTGCAGGCTGTGCACAGAGCTCTACAGTTTTTTCTGCCCTTCCTGAGAGACCAGCATTTACTTGTATGGTCAGACAATGTCTCAACCATCTCTCACATTAACCACCAGCTTAATGTATTTGCCTGGGTAAAGGAATCAGGCGGCCGACTTCCTCTCCCGTTGCAAGCCTCCACCGGGGGAGTAGCGGCTTCATCCAAAGGTGGTTCTCAACATCTGGGAAGTCTTCGGCAGGGCAGAGGTGGATCTCTTTGCCACAGAAGAGTTGACTCATTTCCCCCTCTGGTTCTCCCTGACAGAAGAGTGCAGCCTGCTGGGTCAGGATGCTCTCGCCCACGACTGGCTGGACAGTCTCCTCTATGCGTTTCCACCAATCCCTCTGATCTTTCAGACGCTATGGAGGGTCCTCCATCAGGGTCACAGGCAGACATGGTTCCCACTGTTGCGCAGGCTCTTCCGCAGCTCGCCATGGTGCCTACCCAACAGTCCTGACCTTCTTCACCTGCAGCTATGGGTCTGGCCACTGCAGGGCCATACCCGCTGCTTACAGAATGTTCAAATGCTTTCTATAATACCATTTTGAATGCCAGGGCGCCTTCTACCTGGGCTCAATATGAAAATAGATGGCAACTGTTTACTAAATGGTGTTCGGACAGGGGCGAGGACCCTGTGCACTGTTCAGTCCCAAGGATTTTGGAGTTCCTCCAGTCACTCTTGGACGGTGGCTGGTCCCCTGCCACTCTTAGGGTGTATGTGGCAGCCATTTCCTCACGGCACACTCGGGTAGATGGTAACACAATGGGTTGCCACAGATTGGTGTCCCTTTTTCTGAAAGGGGCGTGGCGGTTGTGCCTCTCACAAGCACAGCGTGCATGTGATCTGCTGCTGGTGCTTGATGCTCTGTGTTTGCCTCCCTTTGAGCCCCTGGTGCAGGCTGAGCTGCAGTAGGTCTCTGCCAAGACTGCCTTTCTCCTGGCCATCACTTCAGGGAAACGTGTCGGAGAGCTACAGGCTCTGTTCACAAGTGACTCATGTCTGCCACAACCTTTCTTCCCAAAGTTCTGTCATCATCGAACCTCAACTGACCTATCCACCCGGCACAATTTGTTCCCCCGGAAGGAGAGGACAGGTTAAAACTGCTGTGCCCTGTGAGGGCTCTGGGAGTCTATGTGGACGCAACTACAAGTATTAGATGGTCGGAACAGCTCTTCCTCTGCTATGGTGGCCCTAGGAAAGGCTGTGCTCTCTCCAAACAGCTATTGTCTCATTGGGTAGTGAACGTCATCACCCACGCATATAAAAAAAGTAGTTACCCCGTACCATCAGGAGTGAGGTGCCACCCTACTAGGCCTGTCTCAACATCATGGGCGGCCCTGCGTGGTGTGCCCCTGGAAGACATCTGTGAGGCAGCATCATGGGCATCGCCAAGTACCTTTACCAGATTCTATCAGGTGAATGTTGCCAGAGAAGATGAAAAGGAACAGATCCTCTGATGTCACCGGAAGATACAGACTGACAGGGTTATCAGGGGTCACACTTTCCTGTAGGAACTGAAAGATTCAGAAGATCTTTTGAAACCACAGCCATCAGACTTTACAATTCTTCTTTCCAAACAGAAGATGACTTGAGATATGAGACTACAAACAATTGAATTTCCCTTCGGGGGTTAATAAAGTTCTTCTTCTTCTTCTTCTTCTTCTTCTTCTTCTTTTTCTTCTCCTTTTCCCAAGAAAGAAGAAACAATGTAGCACATACCCTCAACTGAGCCATCTTATATCTGTGTGATATAAAACATCATCGAAGCCTACTCAGTTTGGATGTTGAGTAGAAATTGGGTGGTAGGACAAGGCTTTCGAGCGAAAAAAATCAATAGTCTTTATGAATAGTTTCATGACATGGTCATATTTTAAATATTTTGTGCAGAGAACTTGTTGATGAACGATACAAAAGATTTTAATGGCTTTTCCTCCTTCTTTGCTAACCTTGTTACAGATTAGTCAACATCTCAGATGTTGATAGCTTTAAATCTTGTTTTTTTTAATATAAATACATTTATTTTAAGTTCTATTATACCTTTAATCTTTCTATACTCTAAACTATATATTTGACATTCCTTTTTTTCTTTTCTGTAAATATGATGTTCCTGAAATTTTAATTTACTTGAGGGAACAGTCCGCTCTGCTTCTCTCCTGCTCCGCTGCTCAGCCACACCCCTCATCAGCTCTACTGCTTCCACATGCCGGTGTCACTTGATCAGCAGTAATCATTCCCACCTATTGCTCCCAGCTGGTCCTCATCACCCAGCTAGTATATAAGCAGCACCAGTTCACTCACTCATTGCCAGATTGTTGTCACTCTCATGCCTCACTCTCCAGCACTTATTCCCAGACTGCTTACCTGGTATCGACCCAACTTGCCTCTGACCATCGCTTCACATCGCTCCCGAAAGATCAACCTGTGGTTGGTTGGCTCACAGCCTGTTTCTATTCCGTCAGAGACCACTCTCGTAAGCTTCACCTCGCCAGCTCACCTCCTCTGGAGCTGTCAGCCCTGTCTACTCCATCTCCAGGTCCAGATTCACACCCTGCCCTCATCTGAACCACTTTCCAGCCAGATTGTCACCAGCAGTGAGTTCTTTGTGCTTTTTCCCTTCCACACTTGTCAAGGCCATACTCCCTGCCTTCCCGTGGTCCTGTGGTAACGTGCTTGCCTGCCACTCGGGAAACCCAAGTTTGAATCCAGCCTGGTCCGCTGCATTATTGACTGTGTTTCTACCTTCCCTGCAAAATAAAGACTGTTGGAAACAGAAAAAGCCTGGTTCATTTGTGCTGCAATTGGGTTCATAAAGTAGTATCTAATCTAATTAGGGTTGATAATTCACACCTTTCGCCAGCCATGGCAGGTGTGCCATCAGTAACAATTCCAGTGATTTTTTTCCCCAATGCTAATGTTACCCACAGGTAAACAAATGGAAATACCCACTTCATTGATCCTTTTCTGACCAACAATTCTCTGTGCAGCAAAGGAATATAGATCAAACCAGTTAGATCACCAGTAAAGTGAGTAGTGGATGTCTGTAAGTATTAAACCTTGACTAAGAGGTGAGAGAAAGCGTTAAGGGGTTTCATTCACAGGTGTTGGGGTGGTTCTCAGGTCCTGTCCACACGTAAGCAGATGCTTTAACATTTTAAGCTTCCATCTACACACGAACAGAGTTTTAGCTCATTAAAATAGGTTTCAAAATTCCCTTTACAGCAAAGAGAACTGAAAAATGAAGCTCAGTTGTTTTTCGTGTGGATGACAATGACAAATATTTTGGGGAAATCTGACCAATCTGACAAACGAATCTGACCAATTGATCTGACTAACTAAGCCGAGTAACTAATCTGACTAACTGATCTGACCAACTGATCTGACTTACTGAACTAACTGATCTTACTGACTTGATTTACTTACCTGACTTACTGATCTGACAAACTAATCTGACCAACTGATCTGACTAACTGAGCTGACTAGCTGATCTTACTGACCTGATTTACTTACCTGACTAACTGATCTGACAAACTGAGCTGATTTACTGACCTGACTAACGATTGCATGGCAGTTGTTGTTGATATATACCAAGATTGCAGGTTACCAGTTAGTTCAGGTCTGCTCTGCACTGGCAGGTTCAATCAAGTGACATTTTAAAGGTGACCAGGATTTTTCCATCAGGGCTCACATGTTTATTCTGTTTTGTGATATCTATTATCCTTCAAATAGTTTATTTTCCCAAGACTGTCCATGTATTTCTTTTTATCTCTTTTTTCTCCTTTAATTAGTGATCTACTT